CTGACTTCTCTTTTAAAGTCACATCACTGGTATTTCAAATACCTCTAATAATCACATAAAAATAAATATTTCAGTGCCACTAAAACATATGAATCAGATATTAAGAGCAAGCAATTCAGACTCTGTCCAAGAACTGATGACTCTCATAGACTATGCATTAAGAGGATATGTGCTATGTATWGGCCAGCATGGCAGAATCTTCCATTCACACCTCCAGTTTAAAAATGGCCTTGCACCATGTTCTTGAAATAGTCTACTCAGGTAAGAGTAAGCACATTTGACTCACCAGAAGCATACAGGTAAAASATCAAGTAAAATAAGAAAGATACATGATGTTAATTGTCAGAAAGGGCACACAAACTATAGTTGATGGACAAGTCATGGTCATTCTTGTTTAACAAGAAATTCATCAGCYCCTACTCTTCATCACAATGCGCTCAGACTGCCCAATGGCATACAGACCCTTAGCTCCCACAGCCTCCTGGAGTGATGGTGCAGCACAATCCTCATATTTTTTAAAATCTTCAAGATCGTTCAGTCTGCTGCAATGCAACACTACAAGTCAGCATCTCTCTGCAACAGCCTCAGCTACAACTCCAACAGGGGATGAATGGATGCAAAATGCAGTTTGTAACACCTGCAGCACCAACTACTCATACTCATTCAAGAGTACAATCACACTCTTTTAGGAGTCCAATGATGAAAATAATTTCTTTTTTGTCCAGTTGCATAGGTTTACAGATGATCTCACAAAGAAAAAAGGAGCACCATTTCACAGACCACTCCATCAAGATCCCACAGGTGTCAGTTAATGCCATTAAACTAAACTAACAAGTGCAGAACACACTATATATAGACTTCAAACACTGACAGGAGATCAGGGAAAAAAAAACATATTATGTATCTACAACCATATTTTTCATAGTAATGGCAATTCCTTTATTGCTTCATTTTTGCTTGAAGAAAGCTTGTCCACTGACATGAATGAAGCAAACACAGCAATGAAAATGACCCAGGAAGAAAGGCTGTCTTATTTCTTTCTGTTGAATGCAGTATAGAGAGTACACAGTAAAAGATATTAGATACTGGGAGTACTAGCCACTAGAATGAAGCACTACACCACACACGTTCTGACTGTTTTGCCCCACCTCAGGGATTCTGCTGTACAGTATCACTCTGAACACAAAGACAACCTCTGCACATACCTTCACAGGGGTCTGCGCTAGGAACCAGTTCATCAAAATCCAATGTGGGTTACAGTATCTCGACTCACACTGCCTTGAGTCCACTAGTTTCACTTCCCTGAACAATTACTATATTGCAATCCATAAATCCACATTTATATTAAATGCAAAAATGAGCTAGTTTGCACTTTTTAAAATAGTTACCCAAGACTGCAAAAGAAATATTATTRTGAAATCTTTAAATATTTGAAGACTGATAAGAGCACACTGGCAACTTAGCCAAGTTGGAGGGGCTAAAATAAATTCTATGACAAAGCCAAACAAAATGACAGAAGTAACGAAATCATCTAAAGAGGAATGATGGCAAAGACTGGGTAGTTGATACTAGTGGGCAATGCATAGATCACATCAAAGCCATCCACTAACAGCAGCTTCAATTTTTCCTGATGCAAAAACTAAACAGAGAAGTAACTAAAGCAGTTTGAGGTARCTTAGTATGAAAGGATTTATGCAATTAATTTAAGGGAAGAAGAGTCTGTGAAATAMAATTCAAGTTAATATAAGTGCTAGGGATGTGAAAAAGGAAGTTTCTCACAGAACAGTATGATTTAAATCCCGATATAACTTTTTGGTACTGAAAAAGCCCACCAAAGTAGAAACTAAGATTCACAATATTATTTTTTTCACTTGGAGAACATAAAATTATCAACTAGCATTGACTTTTTCTTGAGGTGATAAAGCATACCTATGCTTAGCATAGTCTGTGGAATAAACTCCAAAACAACAGAGGAAATAGGAAAGCAGAAAACAATTCTTCCCTCAGAGCAGCTACTGAGTCTAAACATATATTCGTACATAAATCAGGAAAAGGAAAAAACTCCACTGTGCAAGCACTCCCTTAAAAAGAAGTAGGCTGTTATCATTCTCACTTTAATGTTTGYATAAAGCAAACCGTACAACAGCCAGTTCCACACCACAAACATTGAAGAAGCACTCTTTCCACATGCAATCAAGTAAAGCAGAATAAAGAGCATTAACTTTTCCAGGTTTAACTCCAAACTACTCTGTAGAGCAAGCATTCCACAAACTCACCAGGTAATCCTCTGAATTAATGGGATAAAGGCAACTTTTAAAATGCTTGGTTTTCCCAATTAAAAAAGGAAATCAGAAATCATGAAACTGAATGAATGGAACAAAATTACTTAAACAGAAATAGGGACTTGGGGCAGACAATCACTTCAACAGCTTCTGGTGAATCATACATACCACACGTGGCACTTTTGCTAACATAATTATCTCTCAGCATCAAACAATCAAAATACAGCAGCACTACACTTTAGCATTTTATAKGAATATGCGATATACCACATTTCTATACAAAACATACATATATATACATGTATATGGAGCATATATGTGTATAAAAACATAAGTATGTTTTTATTTTTGTAGATAGAAAAAATCAGTCCCTCACTATCAGCTGGCAAATTTGCATTCCACAGCTCTTATTACAAATCTTACTAATTATTTTGCTGGATTGTTGAGACCATTAGCTACCTGACATGTTAAATCTCAGCTCAACAGTAAGTCCTGCAAGATTAAAAAAAAAAAAAAAAGCCTCCCTAAAGTTGACAGTTTCATACAAGGATCCTGGCTCTTCCTAAAAACGAAACCCACTTCTTCCATGTGTGGTTGCAACCACAAAATTCAAGAGTTAGAAAGCGAAGCCCTAAATGCATTCAGAGTATCATTACTCTGTCCCAGTCTGYCTTTTTCAAGGCCTCCACACCGCACTTCTGCTGTTAGTCAATTCTCAGATATTGATTTCAGCTGTAAGACTAAGCAAACCACATGAGAATAAGGAATGGTTATGCATCCAACAGTAAAGCTTCCTATTTACTGAACCGTAACAGCTCAAAAAGATAATAAAACTCATTTTAAGGGGCTAGCTACTAAAAGTATAACATTTGTTCAAATATTTTCCAGTTATGGAATGCTTACATACAGAAMAATGTTTACACCGAATGGAAAATGACACTAGGTAAAGTTTTAGAGTCAGATTTACCAGATTATGATCACTGCTTCAGCCACAGTTCTGAAGCAGGCTGATCTCAGCCAGAAGTCAGAGCTCTGCAATATTTTAAAAGTGATTATATGAATTTTAAGTATGGCCTTGTTACCACACGTCCAATTACAATCCATAAAAACAGAGCTCAAATGCARCCAATTGCTCACCCACGATAATTACCACTAGGAGAACTAAGTTAACCCCAGTGGCTGGTCAGGAGTCACGCGAGCCAGCCGCTACAATGCTGCTCTGCAGTTCCACCAGAGCACAGTCATGTCACAAGGAATAAACAACTGTTAATACCTGTCTTATTCAGCAAACCATATAGGGAGACCCATCATATTAGTTATCCACTCTGAAAATCTTAGTGATTTAAATAATGAAGGTTAAAGCTTATCTATTCCCAAAATTTACGTTTCACTAGATGAAAAGCTTATCTCTTCTCACTTTAGAGAGGGAAATGTTATTGTGTGTTGAATTAATTCAGAAAAAAGCAAAAAGAAATTACTCATGAATATATATATTCAACCACATAAATATCATCCAATTTGTTAGACTTAGTGTTAACAGTATTTTACATTATAGCTACTCTTAGACCTTACAATGCATAGGCAGTGACCTGTAATGATTTATTTTACCTGTCTAAGTGAAAGTCATGCATCTGCCACAGTGTGAGACTTCATCTTTCAGATAATCCCCTGGTGTGGGGTTTAACAAGCTGTACTGTCAACCACATCGCAAGCATAAAGCAAGAACTCTCTCGCCTTGGCCTTGGAACAATGGTATCAAGTTAAAGCTCAATGTCCTTTTCAAACTCTGGCTCCYCTCTCCTTGCCAACCTTGCATGGTATAAATAGCAGCATGCAGAGGAGCRAGCATTAAAAATACTCCTTTAAAAATCTCAGGAGTGCTCGTGCTCGTAGCGCAAGACTGAAGCACTCTTGCACGAGAGCAAGTTGTAGTATATTTCAAACATTTCAATCACGGTGTCAGTGTTCATCTAGGTTAAAAAAGCTACTCCAGAAATATACAATTTCCTTATCTCCCAAGATCGAAAACTCGAAACACACAGCTCGGGCCCTCCGAAGTTCCCCGCAGCCCAGGGGAAAGGCCCCTCAGGGCGGGCCTCGCTGCAGCCGCACCTGCGCTGCACCCCGAGGCCGCGGCTCAGCCTCACCTCGCCGGGGCCGCAGAGGCGCGCGGGCGAGAATCGCCAAGGAGAAAAGAAGGAAAGTAAGTTGGAGCAGGACGGAGCGGCGGCAGTGACCCGCTTCCCCCCGCYGGCACCTCGGCGCCCGGGCAGCTCCAGCCCCGCTACGCTTCTGTGCCCCGTTATCTGGCCGCCCCGGGAAGTCCTGGCCGAGACAGCGAGCATAGAAAGAGAAGGAAGGGGAGAAAGAGGGGCACTCACACTTTCGTAAAAATAAGAAGTCAGCACTTACGGCGGCGCTCACACGCTGCCCCTCACTTGTAGATCGGCGCCGCTGGAGAAAACTGCGCCGCAGCCGCTCTCGCCGCCGGCACCGCCCCCCCTCCGCCCCCGCGGAGGCCCCGGCAGCGCCGCTCCCGCTCCAGCCCGCCCGCTCCTCTCCAGCGCCGCCGGGCCGGCGTGTGCGGCTCCCCCGCCCCGGGCTGCGCTCCTCCAGCGACGCTGCGCCCTCTCTTCGCCGTCCTGAGCGAGGCGCCGCCGCCGTGTTCCGGCCGCACCTGCCCCGCAGCAGCCCCGCGCTCCGCTCCGCTCCGCTCACCTGGCGCTGGCCGGGCCGCGGGGCCAGGCCGGCCCTGGGCGGTGCGCTTGTCGGCGGGGGGGCCCGGCCGGGCGGCGAGGGAGGCGCAGGTAGCCGACCGGGGGAACTGGGTCAGCGGCTAAAAATACCGCACGGGATAGAGGAGGATCCGGCCGYGGCAACCGGAGAGGCAGCCGCCCCTCCTGGGGGCTGTCGGCGGGACCGGGGGCCGCGGAGTCCGGCGGACGTGGGATCCCTGGGCRAGCCAGGACAGGCGGTGACCTTGCTCCAGCCGGGCAAGGTGCTCTGGTTTAAACTCGCAACCGACGGCGACAAAACCTGCCTGGYCTCCTTTCAGTTCCTAAACCGCGTGTGGCTTCACGGCCGGCGCATGGGGTGAGAAGCCGTGGGATGCCCCGGTGCTGGAGAGCTGGGCTAAATCACCCGCCCGAGGCAGCGCCTGGGCCGGCCGGGCCGCATTCCCCCGGCMGGGCCCTGCCCCCGCCGTGCCGGGCTGCCATCGCTCCCGCCCCAGGGTGCTGCGGGAGCCGGCTGGCTCGCTCGTGTGCCCACTGCTGCCGTCCCGAATGAGGCAGCGGGGAAGTGAAGTTTGTGTCTGCGATGTTGCTGCAACCTATTGCAATGCCCAGGGAGGTGGTTGAGTCATCACCCCTGAAGATGCTTAAGAGGTGTCTGGATCTGTCGCCTGCTTTAGTGGTTACAGTGGCAGTGCTGGGTTGACAATTGAACTTGGTGGTCGTAAAGGTCTCTTCCAACCTCGATGATTCTGTGAAGTCGGCTGAGAGCTGCCATGGGTCTGAGGTTTGCGAAGCAGAGTGCAACAACAGTAAGGCAATGTCCAGGTTACAAGAAAAAGCCCCAGGAGGTTCAAGCATAATTTTGTTATTGGCCTAAGGTGCAAGTGGTAGTCTTGGGATAAGTTTGTGTTTATGCAGAATGGTTTATAAATGCAAACAAAACACAAAGAGTGTGAGTTTGGTGASTGGCCCCAACTTTTAACTCGGCTATAACTCTTTTTAGCACTCTGTCCATTGTATTATTTGTTGCCACTTCTTTATGCTCGACATCCTCGATTTCAGCAGTAGTAGAGCCAGCACTTCCCTCCAGGATCTGTCCACTGAGATTTCAGTGGAGAAGGTTCATATTATGGTAATCTCCCTGCCCAATGGAGTAGCTGCCTGGGTATTTGGCACTAAAGTTGTGTCTTCACAGTGGTGGCACTGCCTGTATTATGAGGCAGAGAGGAAAAATCTTTTACTCATTACAAAGCCCCAAGACGTAAGTTATGCCCATGTGATGTGTGAAGAGGAGAAGCTTCCAAATGGCAGCAAGGGTGGAGACAACTTAGCCATCCCAGCATGCCTGGTGCATGAGGGCACAAGAGCCTTCAGGCTCCCTCTATGCCAGTGTAGGAGTCTGTATCCAGGAGGATTTGGTGACTCCACAGGAAATGCTTTCTTGACATCAAGCTAATTCCATGACCTTCCTCTCTGCTCTCCTCTACTATATACAGTTGCTGGCTATTTATATATGTGATGAATATGATTCAGAATTAAACATACCAAGAAGACACTGAATCTTTCAGCCTAATAATTAAAAAAGGAATAGAGCATGATTGCTTTGTTTCATCACCACATGAAAGAGAACTATTTATTTTTATTGTGGTTAGCTTAGTAATAACAAACAAAATGTTTTATTCCCATCCATGAAAAGCAATCTTGTCTTCATGGGCTTTATCCAAAGTATGCTGGAGTCTATACTACTATGTATGGGTTTTCAGTTAGCATGTGACTGCAAATCTGGTAAGCTGGATCAGAGCAAGACTGCTTTTGGGCTACAATACTGAGCATTATACAAAACTTGGATGCTCCAGGAGAGTCTATATGTGCTCCAAATCTTGGGAGGCAAACGTTTCAGTAGCCCAGCTGAAGCACCCTGGCATGAGTGTTGCTGCGGCTGAATGTGTGGAGCCAGGGACATCGTGAGATTTTTGTGGTGTCATTAGATTACTGCTCATGTGAAACTGACTGATAGATAGTTTACATAGCCAGCCTTTTTGCATAGGCATGGCTCCARCTGTATGTATCAAGGCTAATCTCAATTACAACTTAAAAATGCCTCTGTCTTTGTCACCGTGGGGATGGTCTGGAAACTATCGACTGATCGCTACAGCTGAAAGCTTGTGGTGTTGATCTTTATCCTGCCAAAGATCACAGTTCATTCAGCGTTCGCTGCAACCATTCCACTCTGATGGCTTTTTAATTTTTCCTCGTTTTGCTGTTTGTCTAAATCTTTCATACAGCAGTCATCAAGAAAAAAAATTAAATTGAAAACCACATACTTATATTATTTTTAAATGAGATAAGAATGAGATTACTTTTGCTTCTCTGYCTTTTTTTTTTCTTCAGGTTTTCTGGTCCATGCATTTTTGAGTTTCAKAAATGTAGAAGAAAGACTGCAGAATCATGTCACTGAATGTTGAAATTGAAGGGAAGGAAATAAAAAAGATGGGGGAAGAAAAGCAAAATYTCTTAGATAATAAAGGAAAATGAAAGACAAAGGATGAAAAGGGGGGAAGTAACCTGGACCACAAAGTAGAATAAAGCATGGGAAAGMATTGGAGACACCAAAGCAAGGGGTGAATATCAGAATAGATGGGAAAGGAGAATAAATTAATTAAATAAGAGGTTTTTATTTCCGTGTTTCTTTTCAGTAGGAGTTAGTCAGGAGTAGGTTCCACAAATGCATCTGTAAGATACTTTCAGGTACATTCATATTCCAAGATGAATATATGTCTGTCTTTAATAATATATATGACTGCTGCAGGTATAAATAATTTGAAATAGTACCAGGTAACTTGAGTATCAATAACACTAAAAATGCAGCAGCACAGGATGACCGAGTCTGTGTCCTGCTGCTATCCAGGGTAATGGATGGTTTTGAATAGGTTATTATGGAACTCAGTTTCTGTTCCTGGCTCTTAGAGGTTGCTTATGTACTTTAATATTRTATGGTAATTGGCCAGAAAAGCAGTGTTGTAATAGGGATTGAAATTTAAAGTTCCCTGCTCCCAGCTAGGGACCTTAATTGTTGCATTGCAAAGTGATGCCTTGCTTCCCTGGTCCAATGAATGTGGATTAGTTTGTTCAGAATAACAGACTTTCAGCAGGCACAATGAAAGGTATACCTCCCAGCTAGTCTCTGGCCTGGTGATGTAGGGAATTTCCTGGGAGGTCAAATAGGACRTCACTGTTGTCCTCATGACCCTCCAGGTCTAACATCTGCCTCTTTAGCTGCTGACAGAACCTCACCTTCCTCCTGTCATGCTTTTGAAAAATGCCAAAATCTAAGTGCAGACCCTGCTGAAACCTAACTCAAGAATTAAATGCTTTAGATGCCAAGAGGGCTGCAGTTGGAGTGTCAGTAATTGACAGCTGGGGTGCTTCTCACAGTACTTACTGGAGATTCTGGTCCAAGGTACTGCCTGCTCTTGGTGTGGTGGKGAGCAGGGATTCACAGCCCCAAGCTGTGGGCTCCTGGATAGCAAACTGGTGCCAGAGCTTGGGGACTGCAGCTCTTAACACTGCAACAGCTTGGCTCTGGTGGATTTAYAGTCTGTGATAAGTCTTAGCCTGGCTGTATTTGGGAAAATACGATGTTGTGGATTTGTTTATGTTACACAGCGTTGTGCTCATGGGTGMTTCTCTGGCATCAGGAGGCTGACTTCTGTCAGATGAAATTCCTGCAGGCTAGAGGTTAAAACACTCTGTTGTGATGATGTTTTTTACTTTTTTTGAGGTGGAGAGGGGGCTAGTGATGAATGTTGATAACTGTATTCAAATTCTTTGGCAASTGGTAAGTACTGCTCCTCTATGCTTATGCAGACAACATTTAAACTACTCCATTAATACAAAGCAAACCTTTCTGCTAGCCAGTGCCAATTTTGGTTTAAGAAAAGGATTGCACCACAGTWAAAAGTCTTCATTATCTTCTGAAACACAATTACTAATGAATATTCTTGATTTTTTTTTTTTTACCACAAACTTCACATTCATATTACTTATTTGAATTAAATTGTATACCTACTGCCTTGACAACATACCAGTGAGGTATGCCAGAGAAAATCATAGAGTAGTCCTGCTGAAAATGTTGAAAATTTCTTTGGATACTAATTTGGGTTTGATCTTGTAATTTTGCTGATGATTTTACCCTTAACAGCTAAAAGTAACATCATTCTAAGAAACCTTGGTATTTTTCCTCCACAGTTCAAAAAACATTCAGACAGTCTGTGTATATCGTCACAAAAAGTACTGGTGAAGAGATCACAGATCTCTGGGCTAAATTAGTTACATGTGTAGTTATTTTTTCATACGCTTTCAAGTAARGCAAGGTTCAGACCTACTTACAGGCAGCTCTGGTGAAGAACTAGAAAATACTCTAAACATTCTAACAATTAGACTAATTGCAGTTTRTCTGATTCTGTAATGTAATAAACTCTTCCCTTCATGACCATTATCTGTTGGATAAACCTCTACATTGTAGGTGTTATTAATTATTTATTCCTGCCATTACTCTTAAATGGACATTAAAGAATTGGTTCATGGTTTTTATCACAATTCATAAGAACAAATCTGTTCAATAATTTTAGGAAGCATTTTCTAGTGGCAATTAACGTAAGTTTCATCTTCTGTAGAGGTAAAATACCTCTTTAACGGCTTCATTCCTATGAATATGTCAAGAAATCAAGACAGGTTTTTTCCTTTCTGCTATTTGTGATTGAAAATATGTGTGTTATTCTTCTTTCCTAGTTAGATAAAAAATGGACTGATTCCCCCCCTCCCCCTTTTTAATGTCACTTCAATGAGTTTATATAGATATGTGCAGAATGACAACTGTTCTGTATATAGTGTTACACCTTGACATTTTCTGCATATACTGTTTCCTGTGGAAACAMACACACTTTCACATAAGCAGATTTATGGGGAAAAAAACCCAAATATAGTTAGTTGTCTGTTCGGGAACGAGGAGAGGTGGGAAGAGAGCATTATATAGTGAACGTGATGAACCAGCAGCGTGACCCTTCACGCAGTAGCTTCAGTCCATGTGAGTACATTTGAGAATTTAATTGTCTTTCTCAAGTCAACGGGGAAGGTAGGCTAAACCTTGCAAAAGTATACTGGCTGGGAGAATGGTTGCTAGGAAAGGTTTAAAACACAGACCATGTGAAGATATTAGAGAGATTCATGTGTTGCCACAATGTGAATATTTCCAGTCAAACCTGCCCACTTCCTACGAGAGTAGTGGTGCTCTTTGTAGATGTCAAGAAATGACTGAACAGAAAGAACATTTACAATCCTAGTTTTCAGTCATGCTGAA